ATGCCTATCTAGCTCTCAAATCAGACCCATATTAGACAAGTGAGAACATATATTATACTTATTAATGATCTATTCTACTGAGATACAGATGTAGATAGAAATGGATAGTAATTACAACACAAAAGTGGAGAGTTGTATTATATGAGAAATATTTTATCCATAAAATAATTAATGCTAAATCAACATGGATGATATATAGGAGGAAGAAATTATAATTACATGGTTTTTTTTTTTTGTATTATCTATTTATTTTTTATTGAATTTTCCCATTTTTTTTTTCTGGCGGATTAGTGAAAATATGAGAATTAACTTTAATATTTAATATTTCATTATATGAGGAATATTAAAGTTTTTTTTTCTGGCGGTGATTGTAATTATTTTTAGGGGTACGGTGTCAAAATGAGTTTTTGGGTCTGGGTCTAACCCGTGATTGACTTGCTTTCAACTCACCCGACCATTGACCTATTTAGATTAAAAAAATAAGTAATTCAAATGATAAAATTTACCAAAAGAATTGCATTACTTTGAAAAAAAACACATACGATCTCTCTCTCTCTTTATATATATGTTGCGTGCAGTTTGACTGTAAGCTCGCTGAAATCGGAGTTCATATGCTCCCGAAATTAACTTTTAAAGTTTCCAACTAAGTTTCGCCTCGAGATTCGTGCCCAATCAAGATTATTTTTACGTGATGTATCAATATATATATTAAAAATCACAGAGGAGACTACACATTAATTAAGAAATTTGATTACAAGTTATTAAATGATCAAATGCTCGCTACAGTAAAAAAAGTACAACCAAATTCAAAAGAAATCTTGATGAGCCAATGATCCTATCTAATTACAATAAGCAAAAGGGGAAAATAACATGGAGGTAAGAACCTACCCTCAAAAAGCACCCAAACAAGATCTTCAATGAAGCTCAACACAAGGAGAGAAGCAGCAAAATAGAAAGAAACTAGATTTAAAAAAAAAAAAAACACTAATATAACGGCACACATATACTTGGAAGGAACAAAAGGATACCCCATGGACTCAACACGGTACTTCCTCTAGCCAGCAAAGACTAAGTCAACCAGCACCCAAAGCAAGATCTAGGATCCAAAACTATAGAAAAATACTCCAAAGAAATCGAATAAGTAAATTAAAAAAAAAAAGAAACATCAAACTACTAACCCACACCACACAATCAAGCTTCAGAAGCAGCCAAACACCACAAGAACCAAAACCAAACACCTAACTAAGCAGCCTCGGAGGACCCTAATATGGCACCAAGAAGAAAGAGCCTAGGCAACCAGAACCAAACAAATGCCACCATTAAACTAAGCAGCACCTAACAAAAAACCCCAACTCCAGGAGAACCCAACATCATAGAACTAAACATTAGAAACATTAGATCTATTAGGTCTATCCTCAGAATACAATTGAAAGGTTGCACCAAGTGTTTTTTTTTTTTAATAACATTGGACAAACCATCATTATCGACTTGCACCACATTCAAATCATAAATCTCATGAGAATAATTGTCAAGGCCATTATTACCCTCCCCAAAACCCCAATTAGCCAATGAATGTTAACCAGTCAGAATGATCAACAGGAATTTCATTAGAATGCAACACAAATTGCTGATTCCCCAAACCCAAATTTAGCAATGCATCATCAGAAATAGGGGAAAGAGGTATGTTAATTATTAGCACTTTATCAGAAACATCCAAACTATCAAGCACACCACAGGAACAGAAGAACCTAGAGGCTCTTGTTCATATAAATCAACAATGACTCTTAAGCCACATTTAACATTATATCATCAACTTGAAGATTATTAGAAGTACCAACAACAAGAGCAAAAATAGGATTAACAGCTGTAATATTAAGAGTTTTCATAGTTTCCTGAACAACAACATCATAACTACCATAAGGAGCTAAATTTTTGGTTTCCTTATCAATAGCAACCACAGGCTTAAGAATGTTCATGGGAACCTTTTCTAAATGGGGTGAAGGATATAACAATAAATTTTAGAATGTCAGAGAGAATTGCAATGATCAAAAGAGAAGGAACTCCTCCAGCTCGACATATTTTATATACCTAAATTTTTCAGGGCCAAGCAACACACTATTGGGATAATGTTTAGTGATATGTAATTCAACCAAAATACGAGCAAGAGAGGGTTATGATTTAATCAAATTAGCATTATCACTTTTTTACCAGGAGACCAAATAACGATCCCAAATTGTGAAGGATATGAGGAGAAAATAAATGAGGCTAAAGATTAGGAAATGAAACTCAAATAGGGACAATGTGGAATTCCACAACGATGTCATAAAAAGGAGACCACTTGATCAATTTCATAAAGCAATTGCTAGCAAAGTAAGAACGATGAGAAAAAGCTCAATTGTAATCCATGTCATTCACCAGTTTAGTCAATACATATGCCTTGGGTCCTCAAGAGTAATTGAAAAATCATCACTAATTATCTTGAGAATAAAGAAAAATTTACATATCAAGTTGAGAGCAGGTCTATGACCAAGAAATTTACTATTTAATGCCAATTTGAAAGGGGTTGCAAGAGCAAGAATCTCATCTTCTAAAATCCAGAGTGACAATGAACAACGATGGGTAGTGTAAAACTTTTCAAAACTCCATATATATTTTATTATTATTTCAAAGTGGTGATAAGTACCAAGAAGTGTATAACTTCTCAATACTCATTTTTAACCTTTATAAGCTTTAATAATTCAAAAGGATTTGCCAGTCCATGATTAGGTTTTCAAAAAAATAAAATCCTAAATCATAAAAATCACCCCTTAATTCAGGTTCCAACAACAACCAAAATCAAAATGGAACGATCATCTCAAAATGAAAGAAGAAGAAGAAAGAGTTAGACTTATAAATTTATGATTTTATGAATAGATGAATAATGACTTACAAGATGAGAGGAATGAGAATGGAGATGGAAGAATGAGTCAAATGGCAAGGAGCGTTCAGTCGTCAGCTTTCGAACACTTAAACATTGTTAACCTCCACTGATGTGGGATAGAGTAGGAGTGATTCAAGAGAAGCAGTTGTTGATTGCTACGAGCACAAGGCTGCAAGCTGCATAAAAGAAAAAAAAAAAAAGAACCTAGATTAGATTGTTATTGTTATTCGGAATTTCGAATCATGGCATTAAAGGCTTTGCTTAACTCTTCTGGGAACAACTAAGATGCATTGTCATGAATCCTGATCGAATAGTGAATATGTAAATTGATAGAAGCGAGTTAAATTAGATTAATTCTGGGTTGGTGGGTTGACATGAACCAGCAGACCCAATATTTAAATAAGGCAAAAAATTAATTAGATCCGAACTCAACCTCTTTTTCAAACAAGTTAACCTGAATCCAAATTTTTCGTATTGGGTTGGAAAGCCAGATATTTTATGGACACCTCTAATTATTTTAAAAGATCGTTAATTATCTATAATCTAAATAAAATATTAAAAGAAGTTCATTTTTCCCAAACTATTTATGAGAAATTAAAATCATTAATATCTATGTTAGTGTTTATAGAATTTAGGAAAATTAGAAAAATTGGTTGCATGATATCAAATTTTTTTATTTACATATCAAACATCCAAACGAAAGATAAATTACAAATTCATATATTAATTCACCACGCTCAAATAATTGAGAATTTAGCAAAAAATGAAATAGTGAATATATTTTTATGTGCTATTTAAGACTTGGATAATATATATTACTATACGTATAAATAATTAAGCCTAAGTTTGTAAATACAAAAAAAATTGGGATTACCTAAAAATTATCTTTAGAAAAATTATTTAAATTTTATTACCATCCTACCAATTATGAAAAATAAAAAATTATTATGTTAAAATAATCTATCTCTCCACAAATAAACATATGTATCCCGAGTTTATACATTAATAAAAGTAGTTCACTTCAAATAAATGAACTTAGGGGCCGTTTCATTTGCTGAAAAAGAAATGCATGCACTATAAAAAATACGATATATTTAAAATATTTTAAAATTGTTTAGTTGAACGTAAAATAAATGCAGATGATTGATTTTTTTTATTTGACTTTAAATAAAATGAATACAATGTAAACCCCAGTGATTGTGGTGCCTAGTGGCTGGTGGTGACGACAAGTGGCAACGATAGGCGGCGATTGACGACAATTAGCGGCTATGACACAACACACAATGGGTAGTCGGTAGTGAGCGGTGGGGCTAGCTATTAGTGACCAGTGGCAAGTAGCGAAAATCGTCAATTGGGGATACAATAACAAATAATTTATAATATATTTGAAATTCTATCACTAATTATTTTTAAATGCATCAAATTTGAACTAGATAGAGAATTCTAAATATTTTAAAGTTTAACATGCTTATCTTTTTATTTCAATATTTAACTATCAATATTTTTAAAACCTTTATATTTGAAATACTTTAGACCCATTTTACTTCCAATTATATAACCCCTTAATTTAGGCTTCATTTGGGAAGGCTTTTTTACTACTTCTTAAAGCAGCTTTTTAGTATAAAATTTTTAATTTTTTTTAAAAAGCTACTTTAAGAAGTAGTATGAAAGCTATCTCAAATGAAATCTTTATAAATTTTTTATGGAGATCAATGTCCGTGTTTAAACACATCATAAATACACTAGACTCGCCCTCAAGAACTATTATTTGAGAGCCAAATTCCCAACCAACAAAGTAAGGAGAGCTCTGCCCAATAATAAATTTCAATAGGACAAAAAAGCTCTATATTTGCTATTTAGATCAAACCAGTTATATTATTATTTTTTTAAAGAACCGCCCAAAGGATTATTTTTTGCCCAACCAAGCCCTATAAATACGTCAAGACAATAAAAGCATGCGTTCACATATCTTGTCTCTACATGTCACCATTTCCCTTTCCTTCTCCACCCTTGTCTTCTTCCGCCAACAGCATCATTTCCTCTATTCCCAACTGTTTTTCTCCTCCCTTCTCCTCCACCTATGGAAGACAACCAAACCAATTCCGGCAACCTCCCCGCCTCCGCCGGCGAGCCCGTGCGCTCGCGTTGGACGCCAAAGCCGGAACAGATCCTGATACTTGAATCCATCTTCGAAAGCGGAATGGTGAATCCAGCCAAAGAAGAAACAGTAAGAATTCGCAAGCTTCTGGAGAAGTTCGGTTCGGTTGGGGATGCGAACGTGTTTTACTGGTTTCAGAACCGGCGGTCTCGTTCCCGCCGCCGCCAGCGCCAGATTCAGGCGAGTCTTGCCGCCGCTTCGGCTGTGGCTGGAGGCGGAAAGACGATGGAGTATGAGAAGTCTGTTGCGGCGCCGGCAGCGGTGGCAATGGCGTCCTGTTCAACAAGTTGTACTTCGTCGTCGTCGTCTTCTTCGAGTTCTTCTGGCGGTGGTGGTGGGGCCGGCTTTTATTATGGTGCTTCCTCTTCGGTGAATCCGAGTTCAATGTCGTCATTAGCTGGGTTCGTTGGGAGTTACAAGGCTGATGATTTGTTCTCTATTTCTCAGCAAATGGGGGCTGTTGGAGAAGATATTTATACTGGATCTTATGAGGCGGCGCAGATGCAGTACCAGCCTGGTTAGTGACAGTACAGGCCATTGATTTTGTTATGTTCTTTTTTTTTTATAATTTCTGCTTTGTTTTTTAAGTAGAAAGATATTATGATCAATATTAGTTTTTTATTACTATAAATTTGAATTATAAAATTGTTACTGAAATCAATATTTTTGGTTAAATTTTGATTTTCTAGTGATATTTTTGAAGAAATATGATTATGATGATGTAGCTACAGTTTTTTCATTATTTTTTTTTTCAAAAAAAAATATGATTAAATAGTTATCTTTAGTCAGAAGAATTTTTAATTAGTCGCATAAATGATAATCAGTCTTCAAAGAAATAATTAAAGATGTACAAGAAATGTGATAAAAGATAATTAACTTACCTGTTTAACTAAAAATGTGGTTAATAATATACTTTTTAAGCTCACTACTTAAAAAAGGGCAAACATTAAAAATTGTTGTGGTGCTGAAATGTTTAATTACACGAGAGGAGTTATGGTAGAAGGAGTTGCTCTCTGTATCAGCATAATCAGTGATGTGCTCTTATAATTTTGAGCTAAGGTCATTGATTGTCAATTTATTTTAAAAGAGTTTTTAAATTTCAATATTTTAGTCAGAGCTTTGATCTTATAGTCCAAATTTTCACTAAGGAGATCTAAAAATAAATACTTTCATAGTGCAAAAACTGTTTTTTTTTTTTTAAGGGAAATGATAAGAAGCCAAAAAATGTTGATTAGTAGATAGCTTTGCATAATTCTTGAAAACAATAATAGTTAATGATTTATATTTATTCACAGCAGAAAATAGTGAACTATAATTAATCCAAAATTCTATCAATGATGTGCTTAATTAATCGAGTAAATTCTTCATTTACTCCCTATGTTACCTAAATATTTTAGTCTCCATACAAAGTTTAGATATTATTTGGGACAGTTTTTTTATTGTTTTTTAAAGTTATTTTTTAATATCAAAATGAAGAAAAAAAAAATTATACTAAAAAATTGCTTTAGAAGTCCCAAACAAAGCATAAAACTAACATGAAAATGTTTCAGTGCTGATTCACTCACTTATTTATGCTATTTCGTTACAGGACTGGAAAATCCTTAATTTTTATATACTAAAGCTTTTTTGTTAATATTTTCCGAACTTTAGAGATATATATATGTCGTTGAACAAATTTAAGGGCAAGAGTACAACTAATTATGTATAACAAAATGATGCAGGAAGCATAACTGTGTTCATCAATGGGATCCCTTCAGAAGTTCCAAGCGGACTAATTAACATGAGAGCCATGTTTGGTCATGATGCCATGCTCATCCATTCTTCAGGGGAGCCCCTCCCCATTAATGAGTATGGAATCCTTCTGCAGAGCTTGCAGATGGGAGAAAGCTACTACTTGGTAAGATTAAAAATTCTCCACTTACCATTTGAGTTCAAATATTGCACGCACTCATTCTTTAAAATAAAATATCCAACCTTACCTAGCTATTTATTTGTCCTTGACCGGTTGAACTCTCTCTATATCTCTTAAAGGAAAGCCAGCTGCTTACTGTATTTTTATATTTTTGTACAGGTTGCAAGACCTACTTAATTTAGTAGGGCTGATCTTGGCATTGAGAAATGGGATGATGGAGTTGAGGAAATCTTTAAAAATAAGGCATGAATGAGCTGGTGATTTCTTTTTTTTCATGCATGCAGAAAATGATAGGTGCCTTCTTGTCATCCAAGGCATCCATGTGCTTCTGCCAGGGTTGGAAATTATGAGATTTTTCTCTTTTTACGTTAGATTTATGTAATCAAAGAGCTTGCATGAACTGGTTCCTGCCTTCATGTGAACCACTATAATATTATAACTAGGATAGCCAGAATATATATGTATCTGCATATTCGTACTTCTGAATTGTTATTCCAAATGAAATAATCTTTTCTTGGGGTGAAAAGAAGCTTATCTATATTGCTGCAACAATGGTGAGAAGTCGGCAATTTATTTTTTGTTGTGACATGGAGCTAGCTAGCTGGTGTATTGGGGAAATAAGAGGGGAAGCTGCAAATTCTAGCTAGCTTATATGACTTTGCTGTATTATTTTTAAAATAAGGAGTAGCTTATTTTCATCACAAAGATGAAAAATACGGTTAAGAAAAATAGATCAAAAGGATTACAATCCCGAAAAAATTTCAGCTACAAAAATAGGAAAGCTAATGACATTTGAATCCTAGCTTGTATGAGAAGACTAACTTTGTGAAAACGATGGTGAATGCATAGAAGTGATGGTATTTATTTATTTTTTGATAGAAAGATTCATTTATGAGAGTGAATTTTATATCATCAAATCAAAAGTTATAAAACTCATAGAGGAAATCACAGCCCGCTATTGCTCTCAGAGCTACTATCAAAAGAGAAAATAAAACCTATAGAACATGTACACATGTTTCTAAAATAAGTTACAAAAATAATTGAAGTGACGGTTTTTGTTACGACCACTTAAATAATATAATTCAACTATACTAAAGTTAGGAATGTATGTAGCAAAGTCATTAAAGGCATGCTTCTTGATGACCCTACCCTTAGCTTGTCTATATAAAGAACTCAAGTAAAAGACAATGGGTATAGAATTTTAGAATCGTTTAAATCACCATTCTTTATTATTGATCATTGTTCTTCTAATCAATTCATATTGAATTTAGAAATTTGTAAGTCGCATCTATTTAAGTACCCTTGCATTTAATAGCCTTAATAATACATCGAAGTGTACATCGACTCATGAGGCATAAAGATTTCTTAAATATTAAAGTCAAAGATAAAAGAATAGCCTAATGAAAAAGATGAACTATAAGATTCAAATTAGACAAATTGGGCATTCAGTGTAAAGATCAAAAGTTGAAGATCACTTACAATCCTCATTAAAAAAAAAAACCTTTAATAATCATGGTCGGCCCTATGCTCGAATATAGAACAATAATCTTCCACATTATAAAACTTTAATATTACATAATTGAGTTTTAGAAATAAATTAAAAATCCTACAATAAGATATTTGATCCTTTTTACATTGTATGTGATGCTACTCGGCTTATATAGATGACAATTGACCTTGAGAAATACAATCAAGGTAGGTAGTTGGTCGGTTCCTGGCTATTTGTTGTATGCTCTCTATTAAGAATATTAAATAATAAATATGTACCAGACTTCACATCTGTTTTAGTACAACCTATAGAGTTGTTACATCTGTCAATATCCTGACTGCTACGCTTATATATAGACTCATAGGCTTCTGTAAATAACATATGAAAATAATACATTCTATTTCTTTACTTTGTCTTCTTCCTGTATAACGAACAAGATCCGTAAGATTATGCTTTTCTACATGGTATCAGACACGGCAAGATCTTGAACTTCCGCCGTCCCCATGGCATCTCTCTCGGCTTCCTCTCAATCCACCACCGTCGCCGGCACACAAATCGACAACACCGGCATCTCGGCATCCCTCAAGTTCGTAGTCTCTAACTTGCGTACCCTCTCCCTCTTAACCTATAAGAAAAACTCTATTCAAATTTATCTTCTTGTATATGTTGACGATTTTTTGATTACAGGCAACAACAAACCGGTTATCCAGGATCTCATTAAACAACTGCAAGACATATTCAACTTGAAGAAGCTCGGCCTTGCAAATCAATTCCTCGGCATCTCCATTACGCACAAACCGAACGCTTACTTCCTGTCTCAAAAAGCCTATGCTCTGAAAATCTTACATCAATCAGGACTCTTTGATTGTAATCCTCTAGCAAATCCGACGTCCACCAAACTTCCTTCCAACATTCCGACATATTCAAATCTATCCGATCCAGTTACCTATCGGCGTATAACGGGCGCCTTGCAATATCTTACTTTAACAAGACCTGACATTTCTTTTGCTGTTAACATAGTTTCACAACACATGCATAATCCCGGTCCTGATCATATTTATCTCTTAAAACGTATACTCAGGTACATTAAAGGAATGGTGAATTTCGGTCTTCCCATCTCCCAATCCGATCTTCAGCTCTGTTCATTCTCCGACGCCCACTGGGCAGGCGATCCCTCATCACGAAAATCTACGACCGGATACTGTACATTTCTCGGACAAACTCTCGTCTCATGGGCTGTAAAAAAACAAACAACTGTAGCGCGTTCGTCCACCGAGTCAGAATATAGAGCGCTAGCCGCGGCAACCGTCGACATCATCAGGATCAAAAGATTGCTCTTCGACTTCAATATTGCCAGCTCCTCTCCCTCCGATCTCTACTGTGACAACACATCCGCAATAGCTCTTGCAAATAATCCGGTATTTCACGCAATGACAAAACATATTGAGATCGATCACCAGTTTATACGCGATCAAATACAACAAAACTACATCAATCTCCTACCTATCAGCTCCATTGACCAGATCGCTGACATTTTTACCAAGAATCTCACTACTCCAAGCTAGATTTCACTACCTCAGAAGCAAACTGACCATCACTGAAGACCCTTCAGTTTGTGGGGGCATATTAAGATTATTAAATAATAAATATGTACCAGACTTTACATCTTTTTTAGTACAACCTATAGAGTTGTTACATCTGTCAATATCCTGACTGCTACGCTTATATATAGACTCATAGGCTTCTGTAAATAACATATGAAAATACATTCTATTTCTTTACTTTGTCTTCTTCCTGTACAACGGACAAGATCCGTAAGATTATGCTTTTCTACACTCTCATTATCATGTGATGGCATATTAGTTGATGCATATGATGGTGGTGCACTTATTATTATAGCACCTTGAGAGCAAACTCAATATTGTATACCCTTCTTCACACACCATAATAATTAATGGAAATAAACATGGAAGGCACTTAGCAAACATAGATTAATCACTCATCCTTTCTTGAGCTAACTAAAATTAATGGATTAAGATATAAGTTATTGTATTAGCACAAGTTTAAATAATAATTGATCAATCTACTGGACTTGATGCTTGAGAATAATGCTAATTTATTTAAGGAAGGTGGGCCTAGAGAGGATGAATAACAATACCTAAGGAGTAAGGATCTTGAGCTAGGTTTTAAAGGCTACTGAGTGGAGTTTTAGACTTAGAAGCAATATATATAAACTTTAAATTCTTCTCCCAAATGAAGATGGGTGGATCCTACACATTTAATATGGTTTATTTTTTGTGATTTTTTGAATGAATATTTCTTTGTGAGATTATCCTTTACATATATATGATTGTTCAATAAGAATTCATTATAATTTTTGTTATGATAAAAAATAATAATGTAACTAGGGGCTCATTAGGTCTACTTATAAGTAAATGATAGATGGCCCTTGGCCAATTGTGATCAACTGGATAGAACAAATTGGATAACAACAATATTGAAATTTTAGGATGACAAAGAAAACTCAAAAAACTTACTGGTGTTTTTAGGAATTTTGTGGGGGGTGATTTATAATAGTGCTTCTTAATGACAATATGAACTTATGAAATGAATGAAATTAATCTTGATGGGGTTATGTGATTATTTTCATCTCATGTTAATCTAATCATTTTTCATTTTATTCTTATACATCATGATTCTTTTTCTCGAAGAATAGTTCTTTCATAATATTATATTGAACTATAATTCTTTTCGAATTTTATTCTTTCTCATATTGAAGTTGACTCAACATGTATTCTAATCAAATCACTTAGAAAAGTGCCATCTAAGAATTTAAAACCCAATGGGAGAGAATAAATCTTTCTATACATTATTCTCATCAAAATAAAGAAATAATATAGTTCCGTCTTTCAAAAAATGATTTAGGGGTTATTTTATTTGCTGAAAAAGAAATGCTAAATATTTTAAATATAAGAAGTTTAAAATTTTTTATGTTTAGTTTAATGAAAATGAAATACATTATAAATTTTTTATGTATTCATTTTTCTCTCTATAGTTCATTTTATATGTATTCAAAACTCGTTTGTTCTTGAAAAAATTATAAAATACAACGCAAGCTAACTTTATTATTAGTACTAGACGCCATCTCTCGCAGACCTCCATTGTTGTATGTCATCATTGGTTGCCCCCAACAACCAACCTATGTTGTTGCCTTCTACCACCAATGCCGGCCATTGACCGCCACCATCATTAAACTTTACACTACGTTGATTGTACTTAGCAAAAAAGATAAGCATATGCATTTTATTATACACTCATTCAAATAATTTCAAACATTTTAAATATATAACATACTTTTTATACTTTTTTTTTTCATTTAACTCTTCATTTCTTTTGTAACAAATCAAATAGCCTCTTATTCAAAATCAAACTCCCTATACAACGTCACATCATTATGTGTAGGACAATGTACATATATGCTTGAATTCAAAATGGCTGATCAGTAGATTAATTAAGTGTAAAGTAATAATTTATTTTATTTCTATAATATCGTTGATGCCATTATCTTCGATAGGATAGAATTCAACCCAAAAAAACTGTTGCGTATGATGAGTATAACAATCTTTCTTTTGATAAAATACCCTTAATTACCTTTTATTTACAATGTAAATTAATTAAGATAATCAATCCCCTACCTTTTCTAGTAATACTATCCCCTTCCTAAGCCTACAAGCTAACACTTTAAGCTTTTTTTCCTTTAAGGCTTCCTCGCAGCCACCCAGTACGGTATTAGTTTAAGTTAATAATTCTGCTAATTAAGATAGTTTATATTCTTTGCACGTAATTAGCGTGAGTTCATTGGGAAAGTAAAATCTCTTTGAGCTTGTTGGGATCGATGCGAGCATCTTTATGGAATTTTCTACCGACCTACGAATAATGTTTTCTGCCGACATATGCAGGAGAGAGAGGAGAAAAGGCCACATTGTGAAACACGCACCGCCCGAGCTTCCAATGCTGTGATCAATGACGTTTCTTCGAGGAATATTCCTCTAAGCCGCCTTGTTTAAAAGTGGGTAAAGGTTTTAATTAAATTATATGCATTAATATTTTATAATAATAAAATATATTTGATACGTCATCTTGAAATTATCTTGATCGGGCATGAATCTCGAGGCAAAAAGCTAGCCGGAAACTTCAAAAATTAAATCTGGGATCACATGAACTCCAATTTCAGCGAGCTTACAGTCAAACTGAGCGTCTTGGAAATACAAACCCAACGACACCAAGATCAACCCAATCCGAGCCCAAATGAGTCTGAATCAAGGGCTCAAAGCGCTGTTGGAAGGTTCAAACCGCAATTTGGGTTACCAAACGGTCTCCGATTTTGACGAGCTTATACTCGAATCGAACGGCTCGACAAGAAAAATCCAATGAGCCCAAGATCACAAAATTCCAAAATCACTAAGGCCTTCAAATGTCCAACGAACAGTACACGGTCAAAGAGTTCAGCAACAACCCATAA